AAAATAATAACACAATATGAACTTCGGACAGTTTATCCACAATTTCGTGCAAAATACTCAACACTTCATTCGGTAATTGAAAAGATACAATAAAATTAAACAAAAAAACCATGTCGATTATATATATATATATATATATATATATATATATATATATATATATAAATCGAAGTTGAAATCCAAATCCAATAATGTGTACTTTTTAGTCAGCTTTATGCATTTACTTTTGTATTATACTCAATTTATTTTCATAACAATCTTATAAATTGGTACCTCTACAGGTTCAATAAAAAAATGAGCATACATGATGAAAGAATCTGCTCTAAATTGTAAAATAAAAATGGATTAAAACTACGATGTTATTTAATTAGAAAAGTTTTTAATTACTTTTAAGAATAAGATATATTATGGACATTATTGTCTTAAGAAAAGAAAGATTTTCGATGAATAATGAAATTGTTTTCATTTTTTTTAAATTTTAATTGCAATAATTTATAAAGTTTTAAATCTTTTAAAATTTCATATTAATTTGTACCTATTAGGTGATATTGTTATTAATTAAAAACTATATTTATTAATCATAAATGTAAAGCTTACTCCAATTCAGCGAGCACCAGTATTTTAAAAAAGTATTTAGGATTTGTGTTTGTGTGTATGTGTGTATAAACGTGCCGATTTTTGTAAATACGGACGTCCATACATGACATTATCAATAAATAGGAGCGATGACTATAGTACAAAAATTCAATAAGACATTAGATTACAGACAATATTTTCCTAAATGTTAAAGATAACATTAACCCACACCTACCTCTGTGTTAAAAATGCATTTCTGTGATATTTTAAACTAAAAGTAAGTAATATATGTCTCAAATCATATTAATTACACTTTAAATCAATTTCTTTGTAAAGAGAGTTACAGTGTACTGAAAGGTAGCTAAAATAGTTAAAATCAGTGATTTTTAGAAATTTAGAAAAGTAAATTCCTGTCATTTTAAATTACTTTTATAATATAGTAAAGTATTTTGCTTATTAGAAATAACAAATTCAATTTATTAGCTTGAAATTAAAACTACAATAAAAGCTTCAACAAGGAATCTCTGTTTTTAATAATTTTCATCATTAGGTAACGCTTTTCTTTGGAATTACCTACTTATAAACAATCTATTTTAAAAAGAGAGTAAGTTACCTACTTAATAAGTTACCTACCAGGATTTATTATTGCCACACATAATATTAACAACATAAGATACACAAATGATACGTTCTTAAAGATGGATGACACGGTGTAGAAACTAAGAGATCTCTTAAATAAAGTAATAATAAAAAGCAAGAAGAAATGCCGTTAACTCTAACACTAAATACATAATTTCCATTGAAAGAGACAGACCAAGATGTGAGTTAGGTATAAAGGACATCAAAAATACCAGCTACACAACATTAAACTATCTGGATAGTGTAGTAATAGACAGCGGAAAATATGACACAGTTTCTGGGAGTCATTTTTAGTTATTCCTGCGTCTAAGTATTAAGAAACAAGAAAATATAATTAGAAACAAAGAAAAGAGTGATGAACTGATACGCAAAATTTAATCTCCTATATGACAAGGGTATTTAGATGAAAAAGAGATTTGAAGCAACAGAGATGTTCCTCTACCGACAAATGCTAGTTACCATTAACAGAATATATGAGTAACAACGGCGTCTTAACAAAAATAGAAATACGGAAAGTTATAGTTACTAGGTATATTTTCAAGAGACTGAAGCAATTTCTTGGACACATAAGGAAAACAGACCTGGAGAATGTAACACCCACAAGGACATGCTGAAGCTATAAGAAACTACAGGAAAGAGCGATTAATCATTGCAACGAGTTTTGTATATATGGATGGCAGAACGGACAAAGAGAAATAGTAAGGCAACAAAAGTTCTTACTGTAAAAAAAACAGGATGTAGTGGAGAGCCATGATCGTCCTTGTCCTAAAAGAACTTGACATATAAGTCGAACAATACACACCATTTTGAATTTTTCATTGATAGAAATATATTGTGGGTATCAACTCTTTTGATGAAACTTTTATGCTCCACGACAAATTTTGGCGGACTCGTGGGAAGCCAAGGGAAAAATGAAACATAGAATTTAAACAAATAAATATTAACAAATATATTTATAGGACGTTTTACAAAAGGAAAAATGAGAAATGAAATTAAAGGTGAAGGGGTCAGTAGTTGAGATAATTTACATGTCGGTGGGAGTGAAAAGAATGTCTTTTCGGTATGAAAAGTCACCGGGAAAGAGATGGATTCTTTCCAATCTCGCGCCGCCTGTAATTATTGTCAGGAGGCAGTAATCCAACAAATATTTAGCATTTATATGTGAAGTTTAGATTTGATCACAAGCACCTTAACGAGAGAATTTCTTCTCTGTGCCTACCAATTCAGTGGCGGGAGTAATAAACCTAACGATCCCCAGGATAGTGCTCTAACCACTAACATTTATAAGGATATCATTAGATTCGGTTCACTTACATTATACACTGAGTTAGTCATAAAAAAAATTGGAGAAAAAATGAAACGATTTCTTTTATACACCATCATAAAAGACAGGAGATCTCTATCTGTCAGTGTTACTATAAATTAAATAACACTAAATTAATTTTTAAAGAAAATGGGTGTGGTGTAATTTCTCTTTTTCTTCTTTTAATTTTTCACTAACTCTCGTTTTTAACGATATTCTCAACTGCTATCTCGAGAATCAAAGATATGAAGATGTCAGAGACAGTTTAGTCTCCATATTTATCAGCAAGAGATTGTCGATCGACTTTTTAACAAAAGTCATTATTTCGTACACGGTTTGTAATGACATTAAGCTTCTTATTCTTTCATAGTTTCTTTAAAGATAGGGTTATTTTCTGGTCACCCGAGTAAAATACGACGCAAATAAGACGATCACGCCTAATATGTGATGGATGTACTCTCCCGTCGATTTCGACATATGTAGGCCTTATTTCTGTTCGAGTTTTTGGGCTTATTACAACGTTTCGCTCCTTGTACCCTCCAGACTTCATCAGTATACACCCGGATAGTGTATACTTAGACTCATTAATTAAATGGTTCAGTTCGAAATACTTTGAAATTAACTCGGATCGAAAGTCACCTGGTGAAGGACGGAGGGCAAAACGGCCGAAACGTTGTGATAAAAAAACCCAACAAAGATGAGGACAATAGGCCAAGTGTAAATACTTCACTATAGGGATTTACTAAACAAAGCTTAGATCTGGTATAAGGCCGAAAGTATGGAGCACTCAATGTAGACCAAACTCACTACTCAGTCATAATTTATCTAGAGAAAAATGAATTAACATCAAGAAGAGGAAGCTGAAATTTCTGAGACACGTAATGAGAAAGAAAGGATTGGAAAATCTGATACTCACAGGGCGAATAAAAGGAAAGAGAGACAAGGGAAAGTAACACGTGACACATTTACCGGGCATAAGCAAGTGGATGACAGAACAGGGTCTGGAAGAAATAGCAAAAAGATCAAACTTATTGGAAACTACAAGGGATAGGAGGAAGTGAAAGCCATGGTCGCCTACGTCTTGAAGGGACACGGCACATAAAAGAAAAAATGTGCCCATAAACAGTTCAGTATAAGGATTTAATTCTTATGTTTTTATATTTAATGAGACGCAAATCCAGCGGGAACTCTGCACACTAGACCCAAATCTGCGAACCTGATGGTGTTATCTGATAATATGCGTTTATTCTCAAATTTTTATAACGCTCAAGTCTCTCAGATAATTGAGGTGATTTTTTCAAAATCATTTATGCCTTGGTGGTAGATACTCTTCTATAATTGATGATCCATGACGGCTACCTAAAGGGGTTCCAGATGGATGTTTATTGTTTTAAAATTGCACTTCTATATACGATCCATGGCTAAAGATTGTGGAAAAAATGTCCGTCTCCTTGTAGCGCTCCAGAAAGGTAACTTCTTTCTCCTGTTCTGCTGGATCTTTTGTAGAGCAAGATCAAACCGAAAATGGCGTACTGCTGTCGTATATGGGCCGGAGTTGCCCAGTCCTCACTTTTCAGCCTTGATAGAGTCCTCCTGCTATGCTTCATCTTTACAAGAGCCAGATCAGACCCCAAATGGAGTATTGCCGTCATATCTGGACTGGAGTTGCCCAGTCATCCCTTTCCAGCTTTGATAGAGTTCATTTGTTAGTAATGAATTATTTACCGCTCTAAAACTTGTTTTCCCACAAATTAAATATTGGTGGTCTCTCGCCACGTTATCATTATTTTCATGTTAAGACGGGCTACGTGACTTACTTTCACCAGTTCTGACCTTCACAGCCAAGGCCCGCCATGCCACGTATACAGGATCGAATAATCTTTATTGCTTTCATATTCCATTAGTAAAACAGAAGTATCATTCGGAGTTTCTTCCTAAAAGGAGGCTTCTCAGATCACTACAATCTGAACTTCTCAAAGTATTGGGTTAACCGTTATCTTTTCCTATATATTTTCCTAATCTGTATTTTCTTACTTCCTCCTCTTACGTACATACAAAAACCACATTTAGTAACCCTCTACCTTGATTGGCTCTTAACCTCGTCAAGTCTATTGTTAACTTTTATCTTTCCTACATATCCTCATAAACTGCACTTCTTACGTCCATCTCTTACGTTCCATAAGCGCATTCTGTAACCCTCTACTTTGAGTGTAAAAATATCTAACCTTGTCCTTAAAGCGCAGGGTTTGGCAATGTTACGTGCGCCATGTTGAAACCGATTGTATTTGTGGACCTTAAGTATTGTGCTTATCTCCCTTGCATATTATATGAGAATCCCATCGATGTTAGGATTGAATAAGACTGATTCAAACCTCTCCACCAGCCGATGGTATCACAGATCAGAATTAGAGGCTTTGTTCTGCATGGTTTATCCACTGATCGAATGAAGAAATACGTTGAGATGATGGGCTTACAACCACATCACATTGAAATACCGGTTCCCGTACGATCACCGAAGTTAAGCAACGTCAAACCTGGTTAGTACCTAGATGGGTGACCACTTAGCAATACCAGATACTGTAAGCTTGGACGTGTCAGTGGTGTAATGGATAATGGCTCGGAATTCTTAACCGGAAACCCGAGAAAGGGAAAGGTATGAATCCACCACTTCTCCCCAAGTTATAGGTTAATTAGTAAAGTTTAAATCACTAGACTATTATCATGTCCAAAAAAAAAAATTGCGTACAAAATATATAGATATCGTCATTAAATAACACAATACTGCTACACAAATAGCATCCAATCAATGTTGAGATGTTTTGTATGGATCCTGATACGTGATCGATGTTTGTGATCCATACACGGAAAGTGATCAAAACAACATCTTCGTATACATTGATATTGGTTTTAAGAGATGTAGCTCTTTCGTTTAAAAGGACAATGGCAAATCCTTCCAAAGGAATCGGGTGCACTATTTACATTATTCGGACTATTGTCCTCGCTTTTGTTGCCATATTTATCACAACGTTTCTGCCGTTGTACGCTCCAGCCTTCTTCAGGTGGTTTGAATGTTGAACTGAACCATTCATTTCGCTAGCTGGGGTAAACTGCTCTAGTTTCACATACCATGACTAATGATTGTGAGTTATTAGTTATCTCCCGTTAATTCACCTCTCCAATTTCTCCGCTGCCTTAACCAGGTATTGAACTCACAACCCTTTGTATCCTGTCACTGGATCTAACCAAAACCTTTATCCACTGTACCATGTGTCCTTAAGAGATATATCTGAATGATTGTCAACAGTTGCTTTTGCTTCACGCTTAATGAATAAGCTTTGGTTGACGTTAAACTTCGGATTTCTTATGCCAATGGTTAGTTCAAAGATAATGATTGCAAGTGAAAAGCCGTCAACGAATTCTTTGGTTTCTTCGATTAACGGATGCAATGTCATCATTAAAAAGATCACGAATTATTCTGGTTCTAGTCATTTTCCTTTTAGAACGCTGGCGATGAAAAACAAAATAAGCACCACTTGTGCGAAATTCAAATTTGACACTTGTTCCCAGGTCATCATCGTCATGTGAACTATAATAAAAAAAAAGAAAGCAGAATAAAAAAAACAAACAACTAGAGTCATGACACAATGTTGGTTAGGCCAAAGGGATAACATAGTTCCTGGTCAGAAACGATAAAATCTCTGGAAAGATTTTCCATACATCATTTTAAAAACAATTTAATAATTAAAATAACAAGTACATATTTAAATTTTTTTTTTGTATATCTTTTCCTTAAGTTTATATATATATATATAGATAGATAGATAGATAGATAGATAGATTCTAGCATAAGACTAAAGATACTACCTGTTTTAGTTTACAATCTCTTGTTTACAGTATATATGCAACGCCCTGGAAAGATTTTTCCATACATCATTTTAAAAGCAATTTAATAATTAAAATAACAAATACATATTTCAGGGGTTTTTTTTGTATATCTTTTCTTTAAGTTCATATATATATATATATATATATATATATATATATATATATATAGTTAAACCTAGAGAGCCAGCCTTCCTGACGATCCGCTTAGGGTGAAACCTTGGTAGGTTTGTCTGGCTCTCTAGGTTTAACTAGGTCTGCTCTACTTATTGTATTGAGCATTTTATTTAGTTATTTTGCGTACTCGTATCGTTTTTTTTCTTTGGGCTTTGGACTTGCATGCTAGACGATTATTTTCGGCTAACGTACATGTTCTTGGTTCTTTCTTTTTTATACCTTTTTCCCTTTGTCATTGGTTTGATTATTTGCAAATCAAGACACCGAATATATATATATATATATATATATATATATATATATATATATATTTATATATATATATTGGCGCTTGGCCGAGTGGTTAGAACATTCGGTTTTCGACCATAAGACACAGGTTTGAATGAGACCATGGTCACTTTTCAGAAGGTGACTTCCTTGATGTTATCGGCTTGAGAAAGCGATTCCATCTTGCGGCATCGTTGGAAATTACCTGAAAAACCATTCCACGCGTTGACCCAAGCCTTGTGATGGGAAATTGCTGGATGTGACTGTTCAGACGCCGTCGATGGATGTGCTAGCACGAAATCACAAGTCATTGTGATCGAAGTTTTCGACGTACTTGGCCCTGTTTAAACTGTTAATTGTGCCAGAGCATGTGCTCTTTCCCAGAAACTGTAATAAAGCTTTCATTCCTTAGCTAAGGAGTTGATAATGCTTAGCATAAATATTAAGTATGAAAAGTTTTTTTCAAGAATACCCACAGCGCGTTTCAGTTCGCTGTGTCAAAAGCTTTGGTCAAATCAATGAAGGTTATATAAAGTTTCTGAAGCAGCTTTTCACAATCGTACATAAAGATTCCAAAAGGAGAGAGTTCTTTGATAGAATTCTAAACCTATTTCAAGTAATGTTCATAAGGCAGATGATATTTTAGTCTTTGGCGAGTAGCGATAATAGCATCGTTGCCAATTGTCAAGTTAACGACGGTTTCAATGCTCTTGTTAATGTTTTCCTTATTTGTGAACAATTTCTGGACAACTGAAGACGGGAGATATCCTATATTCCTTTCGACAATACATTGTTTTAAGGTTTTCTTAAAAGTTCTTAACTTCCTTTCTGTGACTTCGGCTGCCACCACACGAGCACCGTCTGCCGGCCACAAGCGGGAAGACGAGGCATGGGGGACACCGGGCGGCCGCCATCGCCATCATCGTCGTCCAGCAGTGCGCGACTCCGCCCGCCACACCACCAGCCAAGCGGCCTGGACGAGCCTCAATATCTTCATTCTCCTAGGACCGTTTGGACCTGCTTTTTTAATATTATCGTTCACGCAATACAAGGCCCAAGAGCCACTCAAAGTAGAGGGTTACTGATTAGAATTGTCGTAAGGGCGTAAAGGTAAGAAGTAATCAGTGATATTATTATGTAAGAAAAAATAACTGTTTGAAATCCTTCTACTTTTGCTTTTTGGTTGTCATTTTGTTTTGCGTGTCATTAATCTACAATTTATAGGAATTCTGCATTTTTACGATAAAAGAGTGAGTTTAAGTAGCATTGTCATGGAAACAAACCAGCCTTTCACTTTAGGAAGTCCCACTTCCAAAGCATCAAAGTAGATGGCATTCCTGAGAGATTTCCGAAAAAGACTACGATGTCATCACAAATTTCCACTAAATCCCTGTTGATTAAAGATTCGATAGCTCTTCCTTCATATCGTTGTATTTGTGTGGAAAGGCAACGATTTATTTGGGCATATTAGATCTTGATCTAATATCTAATCACACATCTCACCAGAAAGAGGGCAAGTGAGGAACCGGTTCCGATCATGCAAACGCCATTAATTGATTATATGATACAAGCAGTATGTATAGAGTGAATTGACACGTCTGAGTTTGATAATGAATAGTTTTTGAAGTTGTGCTGAATTTCAAATCCAGCGGGCGTTAATTACCTCAGTGCGTAGCCATTAATCCTTTGATCCTGGCACCTGATAATGATGTCTCTTCCTCACTCCAGTCGGATAAAGATAGATGCAACATGTAATGCTAAAAATAAGTTGTATTTTTTCCCATATGTCAACTAAATAAAAAATATACAAAGAATACCCTCTTATATAACAGAAGGAGTATGCACACACACACACATATATATATATATATATAATTATATATATATATATATATATATATATATATATATATATATATTATTCGGTCAAGATAGCTCGGATAATCATCTATAACGCTATCACGGCCCTGCATCAATTTTGGAAAGCCAATAGGGAAGCATTCTGTCAGAACATAACCGTTCAATGTAGATATTTTGGGGGCGATCAATCAGAAATCACTCAGCAATTTTTGTTTTGCGCGCCAGCAGTGTCCTGCAAAGCGGATTCTCTGTTCGTGTAAGATTGTAGAAATATTAAAGATAGGTCCTTAGAGCTGTGATTTAGTTGGATGATTTCTCCAATATGTTAAGTATAGCTCTGAGCATCGTAGTATAGGTTCCATCAAGCTGAGACTCTAATGTTTTAGTTAATGTCAACATAGTGGCACCATAAATTAACACCGCCTCTATTGTGATTAGGAAAAATGTGGTAGACATTTTACAAGCCATATATATATATATATATATATATATATATATATATATATATATTAATGATGAAATATAGTTTTAATGTATGCTATATTTTGGGGATAAAGTGCTCAATATTAGACACTGAGCGTATGTAAATATAAATGTGAATACTGAAGTCAGCACTCAGTGGCGACAGACTGTTACATGCTAAACGCAAACGTCAGGCCTGACGATCGCGTTTAGCATGTAACAACAGTCTGTCTCCTCTGAGTCTTAACTTCAATGTTCACTTTTATATACATACATACATACATATATATATATATATATATATATATATGATACGAGGGCTAAATTGTCGCCATTTTATATTTTTATTTTGCGCAGGCGCGTTGTTTGCTTTTGATTTTTCGACTGAACAGTATATTAGGTCAGTTAAACACCAACTGAGAGAAAACGAGTATCATGACGCAATTCAATCTGCCAGAAATTTGGAAACAGCCTGATGTACTGTTTGGCATTCACACCAGAAGCTCCAATAGAAAAATTTTAGATTTTTTCAGTGTCAATCTGAGGACATTGCAGAGGATTCAAAAAGAGTTGGATGAGTCTAATGGTGATTACGAAGGTGTTTGGAGTGATCGCTAGTGATGGCGACGTTATGCCACCATTCATCTTCCCACGGGGCTTCAGACTCAACATGGCATAAATCAAGTTGCTTGAGAAGGTACTGATGCCCTGGGTCAAGAGGGTGGCTACTGAAAAATCCTGAATCTGGCAACCGGCCTCTGCAATATGTCACTCAAGCAGGGGAAAACAGTCATGTCTGTCAGACAATTTCTGCGACATTATCACACCTTACGC